CAAGCATTGAATTAGCATCACATAGTAGTTGCAGATAAATTTTTGTTATTGATTTTTTGTAAAATCTATTTTTTGTTGATATTATATATAATTCACTTTTGATGTGAGATAAAAATAAAAAGAGTTAATTTAGTATGTTTTACGATTCATGTATCATTTTAAGATTAAGAGAAGATTCTTTAGAGTACCATTAAGAATAGTAAGGACTACATTTTCCTTCTCTATATTTCCCTTTTCTGTTTTTTTTCTACGTTTTCCAGCAAGACCGAATATATATGAAAAAGAAATTCAAAGGTTTATTTTTGCTTCCATGTATTAGGTTGTGTATAAAAAATATCGTTTAATTACATGATCATATCAAGACTTACAGACTAGTTTAGGCAGCGACATAGATTATGTCGTTGTAATCTGACAAAAAATTATCTTAAATCTGTTATTTAAAAATATTTAAACGTTATCATCAGCTCAGGTCAATTCGTATTTGTCGAGCTGTTGGTTTATGAATAATATGGTGAATGTGACGGCTTCAAACAAAAAAATACAATATCTTGTCAGAAAATAATTTTTTTAAACTATGAACAATTTATTATAGTCGGACTTTATTCTTCAAAATTATTGTTTGAGAATACAACAGATTCTATTACATTTTACCGATAATAACATTTCCTAAAAGTAAATAAAATGCGCGTTGGCGTTTTTTATGAACAAAAATAATTATATGATGATTTATCATGTAAATACAGTGACTGTGCCAGTGTTTTTTACGCATGAAAAGTTAAATAGGCGGTAGTCTGGCTAATTGATAATAACGTCACTTGTTTTTCGTATTTATGAGTATATAGTATTTTAATATACAAAAAATATAGATGAAAAAAGGAAATAATATTCGTATATAAAGGAGGAGAGAACATATATCATCATATATAATTTCACCTTATCCAAATAGAATACTCGTACATCGCAGTCTGTGAAGTAAGTTTTTATTTTTGAGTTCTACATACTCGTATAAGACATCAAATTGGTTCGAGGAAAATTAACTGAACTACGCACGCAAATTTTTTATCTGTAGTCATTATTTTAAACTGCTCTTCGAGATATCTAATAACGATGAAATGAAAACCAGCGATCATATAATTCGATATTCATAAAAATTCCGTTACCTGTGAACTCTGTTTTCTTTTGCTACTACTCTTGAAAATGCTAGTAGAACTAAGTATATTAGTCGTCGACAAAAATATCATAATCGAAGCATCTATCTCGTATGAACACTATTTTTTTAACTATAGAGTTGTCTGGAAAGTTCGTGAAACTGTATCTTGATTGCATGAATGAAACGTTTAGTTCATGTAATTGTGTTTGACATGAATTTTCAATAAAATACTGATCTTTGTCTCGGTTGATTGGGTCATTTTGCGTGAAAAAAATTAGCTGTCACAAGCGTGTCTATCTATAAGAATTAGTTAATTGAACAGTTAAAAATAGATAACGAAATAAATAGTACCAAACTGCAACGATAAAAACACTCATAAATTTTGTTGAAACATTGAGGATAGAGGATATGAATGTGGTGATGAACAACGATCATTCACACCCACATCTTAAGACGTATGCACAACTAAAGAGAAGATTAAAAGTTTCTCCTCAAATACATAATCATTTTTTGACTTTGCAAAAGTCCTTTTTCAGAGATTACGCTAGTACTATTTGTGCGAGAGGCCAATGGTAAATTTACAAAATTGAAATGACGCAATATATAAGCCAGTAGCATATAAGATACATGCTCAAGCATAATGATTAATCAGTATTTTTTTCAAGTAGTAACTTGCATAAAAACAAGACTAGCGTCGCAGGTAGAGTGGAAGACGTAGGTATTGTTTTTTGAACAAACATTTAGGATTTTGAGCTACCACTGAATACAGAAAGATAATGGGTGAGTCGATAACTTTTACGAATAACAAATCGCCAATATAACCTTGGCCAGCAACATTCGGTTGTCAACAACAAACTGATAGACTTACTAGTTGTATTTAATCTAACAGAAACTATGCTTCCGTTCTAGCGTTAAGGGTGTGGGTGTGAGTATGTAAACGACACACACCCACCCACCCACCCACATCCTCAAAAATTTAGTACACTATAACATATCCTCATCTAACATAATAAATGAGAAGATGTGATAGGATTCTCAATTTTTTCGAGAAAAGTTTTATAAGTAGAAACAGGAATTATTTGTATTTGTACCCTCTGGTAACCAGTTAGATCAGCCATTCTACTAATATTAAGTACAAGTTTTTGGATTCTCCCATCACTCAACATGCATGACTTTCCTCTTCCCTAACTCATCATTTTGTTTGTATATTTATCAATGAAAATTACATATTGCAGATCCAATCAGTCATGTATTATCATTACGAGTCTGGTCCAATAATTCAGTTTACTTCATTATTTGGAATTGGAAACAAAAAAAAGTTCCGTGACAGTTACTCCGGTCAAATCTTGTATGAGATATCAATTAAGAGAAAAAGCTTTATGGGTATGTTTGAAATTCGTGTTACAGATTACAATGGTATCGATGTAATACGCGCTGATAACTCTGGACGTGGTGTTTTTGACATATTCTCTTCAATAAACGGCAGATACATTGGCACTATAGACCGCCACCAGGGCACAGTCACTGCAAAGGGTAATTCATACGTTGCGACTGATATTAAAAGTGGATGGGGGGTGAAAGAATTCACGATCGTGCGCAACGGCAGTCATCCTGTTATTTATAAAACACTTGGACATGTAGCTGTCGATCAACGCGAATATCAACCATTGGCGTTGTTGATTTATACGATGGAAGAGCATTGGCACTTTGCGCCTTCAGGTCCATCTTATTCTGGTCCGAATTTCATTGGTGGTGGCTATAATTGAACTAATGACACTACCCGTTACATAGTTTTGTTTCTTTTCTCCTTCTTAGTATATATACACTTGACTGATAATTACTATATTCAATCCCTTTTGTCTCTCCCTTATTGTAGCGCTTTTTACTTTGTTTATATGATTTATTGTCATTCTTCTGATTGTCTATATATATATATCTAGTTACTTACTAGACTTTGTGATACATACTCTTCTTCTTTTTCACTATTCCTATTTTTTCCTGGTTGACACTTACAGTTAGACACCTACTCATATCTATGCATTAATTGTTCATCATTTTTTCGTTCTTCATTTTCTTCAATATATGTATAAGGTGCTAGCAATTCAATTTTTGGATAACATTATTGTATTTGTTTTACATAATTTGATAGAACTTGAGCTGCTAATGACGAAAATTGACTTTTTAAGGTGTGAGTGTGGGTGTGAGTATTTGCCGAAAAAGAAGTAATATGTACCCATAGCTTAGTAACACTCAACAAAGATTGTTATTAATCCATCTTGTGGATATGGGTATAGCTGTATAGGAATAACATAGTGATTGCACCTTCATTTGCACCTACACCTACACGTAAACCCTCATCCACACCCACCTTTAAACTTACTAATTCATGTCCATACACCACAGATGTTATATTATCAATAGATTAAAAAAAGTTTCTTTTTTCTTTATTCATCAGTTTTATAAAAAAAAGGAACATGAATTCCATTATAATCATCTCCAATGTAAATAGATATTATCACAAATACGTTTAATTGTATAATTAATAAGTAGTTTTTCATGGTTAATCATTTCTACTAATGTTTCCATCATTTGATCATCCAGTAATGGAATACGAAAACATAAAGAACAAAGACAGTTGTCGATATCTTCCATTTGTATACTTAAAATCTCTTTTAGAAATAGTTCAACTTCCATATCATTAATATTATTAATTTGTAAATAATTCATTCGTGGACAAAGTTTGATAAGAATATCTACTTGTTCAATACCAGTCATATTTTCCAAGTAAACTTTAGTAATTTTATTTGTTTTGGATATGAATAAAAATATGTCTGTCTCGTTTGTAGATAAATTTTGCTCTTTTAATACAAGATCATGAATTTTTAATGTAGTAAGGTCAGGTATGACTTTTATAAGATAAATTAAATGACGAATAGAAGCTTCTGTTTTTGTAAAAATTAAATGATAAATATTTGTTGCAGTTAAAACAGAATTAACAACGAAAATTGGTACTTTAGGAGAGTCATACATAGGAATATAAGTAAAATTAAGTCGAGCAGATTTCGAAAGTTGAAGAGAAGAATTAATAATTGGTTGTTGGGCGTATTCATACCATCTTTTTCTAAAATGAAAATCTATACGAGTAATATAAATAAGTTAGTTTTATAATCTATACTCGTAAGGGCGAATTGAATATGTAATAAATTCAAAATTAACTTTAGTTTCTAATACCCATTTTCGTTCAGACCAAAATAATGAACTAAATTGATTGGATTCTTCCAATTTCAAATGTGTTGATAATTTTTTACGACCTTCCATATCTTCAGTATAATCGAAATGAAATGTATTTAATTGAGGTAAATATTTTAAAATCAATATTTCCCATCGAGCACTCTCAAGATAATTAGCATCTTCCAAACAAATATCAAGAGATAAAGAGTTTAATTTCAAATTTGTATTTTTAATCAACATTTCTAATCTATCAAATGTTGTATGATATATTTTTATTTTAAGATGTGTTAATTGTGATAATATAGATAATAAATGATTATCAATTTTTGTATTATTATCATCTTCTTCATCAGTAAAACTCAAACGATGAAGTTGTGGTGTATAGGAAACAATACGATTAAGTTGTTCCAAAGTGCAAGAATGATTAATAACAAGATGTTTAATAGAACTAAATTGTTTATTTGTAATCATTGGAAGTAAAATTGAACTATGAGGTCCATAAATAAAACCAAGTTTATTAAATTTTAATTTGGGTAAAGTGAATATCAATGGATAAATAATATTTAAATCTTTAAAACCTTTGAGTTCAAAAGTATCAATAGATAATGAAAATAAACGAGGTAAATACGCTAAACTCTTTAAAAATGAGACAACTGCGTGTGAATCAATGCCGCGAATACTAATTGATTGAAGATTATTTAATGATGAATCAAGAATCAATTCCGAGAAAAATGAATCGATAGGATCTGTTAAACTTAAATGTAACGAAAATATTTGGTGTTTATTCAAATGTATCATTTGATTTGTAAAATTTCTAAATGGTTCATCTCTCCTTATTTCAACTGCAGTTTTAAATAAAAGAGATGAAGAATTAATCAATTGTTCAAATCGATCGTTAAGATTTGAAAAAGCTTGATAAATTTCATAACCATTAAGATAATCAAAGATGTCATAAAAACATTCGTTCGATAAAATTTCCATCGATGATATAGACATACTGCTTGATTTAATACAATTAATGAAGAGATAATTCAATGATAAATAATTTATTCAAAATCTATAACAAATAAATAAATGTTCGTTTGTCTTTCTTTCTTAATAGAATCATATGATTCACTATACGATGGATATATATATAACTAACCGATTGATGACGTTTTATTTTCTTTCTCTTCTTAAAACAAACCATGTGGATTGTCCAGCAGTGGACCATTGGGTGTGGGTATGACACAAGAAAAGACATCTACACCCACATCTTAACAGCTTTAAACTGTGAATTCATTCATGTCTCATTTCCATTCTTGCTCTCACGCTATAAAAAAGTGAACACATATTTACACTTTTTGATCAAATGATATCGTTTATCAGAATAATTTGAATTGAGGGTATAGGTGATTGAGGATGAGACTGTTCTGTTGATCAACATTCATTAGAATTGTATATTCAAAAATAAGATGACTGGTGTTTGTTCAAACATAAAATAGAACATGCATAATGTAATACTTCAAACACTATTTTTCTTTTTCCATTTCTTTCTTCGTTCTCTATATTCTCATTTTGTATTTATTCCTTTTTATGTACCACTTCAGCAAAAATTGGCTGACGGCTTACGCCTCTAGATGTAAGCACTGACGAGTATTACATTCATTAGCAGAATAGAAAAACAAATCTAATCAAGTTATTTAGCACTATCAATTGATATTAACTCATTTATGGAAATAGCTTACCTAACTGTTCAGTATGAATGAAGTAATGTCAATGCGAAATTTTAGTATGAGTCTAAAATCGTACATTCGTCATGAATAGCAAAACGTTGATTTTGTTTTTGTTAATCTGATATATTTTAATAATTTCTTGCAGTTTTGTATTTATATCATAAATATAAACCTCTAAACATACTTATGAAGAACACATAGATTTAAACATCGATATAAAGAGAGTTATTGTCAGAATTGTATCGAAATAATTAGTATTCATTTTCTTTTTTCTCCTGTTTGTTTGTCTGTCAAAACCAATCATTTGTGTTGATATAGACTCGAATATTGTTCATCACAGGTGTATAACGAAATAAAATAGCTCTCAATATGTTTTGGTTAGATTCATCGTACAAATATATACAAAATTTCGATGTGATAACAATAACGAGTCCCTTATAAGATTTCCGGGATTTTACGAAAACTACAACAAATCAGGAACACTCCCTCTTTACCTATGTCAGAGTTTCCATTTGGCGGCCCTGTAAACAAGACAAACATGATACATCTTACAAAATTGAATTGTTTTTATACAACATATTTTTATATTCTTCGAACATTTATTCATTAATTAAAAATAAAAGTTTCTCACTACTTTTTCTACATAATAGATTTATTTAATTCTGCTTACGTATTTCTCAGTCAATGAAAAATACAATGACGTTTTTCCTGAGCTATTTTCAGAAGTTCTCAAATTAAAAGTCAGATATTTACTAGAGCTTGCGTCAGAGAAAGGCATTATTTAATGGTGATTTGACGTCATTAGCTGTTGTAATAATTTCACCATTCAGACAGGAACAAATGAGTTTGTTCATATTTTAGCATGATTTGTTTTCTAAAAACAACAACTCCAAATGCTTTTGTAAAAGAGCAACAGCAATGGCATATATATAAATAATCGTTACTTAATTCATTATTTTTTTGTTATTGTATAACACATAAAAATGTTTCCTATGAAATATCTATTCTATTTTATTCTTTTACATTTGATTACTGGTCATCCTCAAATCAATCTTCATCATACAAATTGGGTACGTGAAAATGAAAATAATGATGTATTACAACATGATTGTTTGCGTACTGATGTTTTAATTGAAAAAGGAAATTTCAGTCGTGAAATAATATCTTATTGTATTAGTGAATTACCACCGAAACTGCATGTCGAAAAAAATAATTTTTTACAAAAATTTACTTTTGATGAACTTTCAATAAAAAATATAACAAGTCACCAATTGTATCTTTGGTCAGCACCAATTGATATTATTGAAGATTATCAATTCTATTTAAATCAATTATCAGTAACAAATGATTTAGAATTATCAAAAAACGTCTTTTATAATTGTACATTACCAAGATTTGGTCCAATGTGTCAATATGAAATTGTTCATCATCATTCAAATTATCCATCTTTATATGAAATGATTAATGGTTTATATCACAATAGTTCAAAAAATCTACCTCATATCACTTGTTATATTCATTTACAATGTAATCGTGGTCATCCTCCAGCATGTTTACATTGGACTGAAATTTGTAATGGACAAATTGATTGTCTTAATGGTGGAGTTGATGAAGAATATTGCTGGCAGCTTGAAATAAATGAATGTAATGAAGATGAACATCGATGTGCTAATGGACAGTGCGTACCGAAACCGTTTTTTCAAGATGATACTTATGCTCCTGATTGTTATAAAGCTGAACCTAGCAATATAATGTGGGATAGCTTGTATTCTACTAAAGACAATTCAACATCTAATAAATGTTGGTCTGCATTTCTATGCGCTATAATGAATGCAAGAAAAGCAATGTTTAGTATAAAATGTAATGATATTTGTGAATACAATCATAAGTGTCTTGAAATCATCGAATATAATTGTCCAAATATGTTATATATACCAACTATTCCAGTTTTATTTGGTGATATTTATTTTGCTCATGAGAAATACAATTCAACAATATCGAACAATCGAATATTTCAGTTTCCTTATATATGCTATAATAATTCTCGTTATAATGATCATTTTAATGAAGATTCAAATAACAAATATAGCTATTCAATTATATCATTCAATAATCGAACGTGTCATCGTCGTATTGTTCCATGGTTTCTCGATCAAATTCAGACCATAACATTACCCATGTTCTATTTAGAATACTTACCCCCAAAACTTTTGCGATACCATGAAATTTATAATTATAATTCTACAATTTGTAATAGATCGAATATGTATCAATGTTCAAATTCATTGAAATGTATTTCTAAACATCGTCTCATGAATGATAGAATTGATTGTCCTAATAGTGATGATGAAAATAAAACTTGGCTGAATTATACTGATTCAACAGAAGAAATTATAGGCATAGATTCACAGACAGATAAAGACTTAATACCGAAGATACAATATGCAAGAAAAAATATTTCATTTCAAACAATTTGTGATGGATATACTGAATTATTACCAATAACAATAGATGGACGAAATGAAACAGATGAAACTGAATGTGAACATTGGCCATGTAATAATATTTATACGAATTGCGATGGTATGTGGAATTGTCTTAATGGTGCAGATGAAATTGATTGTGATTTATCCTCTCCATCGTTATTAAACTGTTCTTCAAATGAACACAAATGTATTTCACCTGAGACGAATCAATTTATTTGTTTACCAATTAGCAAAGCAAATGATGGTAAAGTTGATTGTCTTGGGGCTACCGATGAACCAACATTATGTCGCATAGAATATACAAAAACTAATTACTATAACTTCTATTGTAGGAATCACCGTTCAAAACAATGTCTGGATTTTCTCCAACTATGTAACAATAGGGAAGATTGTGACTATGGAGATGATGAACAATTTTGTACAACATATAAGCAAGCGCCAAGCGTGACTATTTGTTTGGCGCACGAACGCCCAAATGCTTCTGATGTCGAGAATTTTTTATGCAACCAAATAGAGAATTATACAAAACCAATAGTTGTATACTTTACTCTTGATGGAATGAAAAATTCGGTCAATAATCTAACAGAACACATAGAAAATAAAGAACATACAAGTGTAATTTCAGGTGAAAACGAAAAGCATGATCTACTTCAACTTCGTTGTTATGATGGTATTGACTTACGCGTTTGGTTAAATGATAAGAATAATATAACCAAAACTCTATGTCTTTGTCCGCCTGATTATTATGGTGATCAATGTCAATATCAAAATCAACGAGTAAGTTTATCACTTAGATTTCAAGCAAAATCTGATTCATGGCAAATACCATTTGCAATTGTTATTTTATTAATTGATGATGATAATGAACAAATGATTCATTCATATGAACAATTGACTTATTTATCAATGAGAGATTGTGAAAATAAATCTCATTTTAGTTTAACTTATTCAAATCGACCAAAAAATGAAACAAAAAATTATGGAATACATATTGATATTTATGAAAAAATATCATTAAAATATCGAGCAAGTTTATTTTTTCCAATTCAATTTTTATTTTTACCTGTTAATCGCTTATCATTACTCATTGATATTCCAAATCGTGATATTATTATGGAAAGTTGTTCCATTAGTTTATGTATTAATGGTCGATGTATTAAATATTTCAATGATAAACAAAAAAGATTTTGTCATTGTGATACTGGATGGTCTGGTCGTTATTGTACAATTCAACATTCTTCAATATGTTCATCTGATTCATTAGATATTGGTATTTCTTCTTCTACTGATCAATCAATATGCGTTTGTCCTATTTATAAATTCGGTTCTCGATGTCTTCTTAACAATATGATATGTCAAAATTTAACATGTCAAAATGGCGGTCTATGTATTCCCATGGATGAATATATGTTATCGAAGAAACGATTTATATGTATTTGTCGAAAAGATTATTTTGGAGAACGATGTGAATTAGAAGATAATAAAATAATTTTATCATTTGAAAAATCTATTATTGTACCACAATCAATATTTATTCATTTTATTGAAGTTATGAATCGTGATAGACCAGTGAGATTAACTACACTTCAAACAATTTCTGTTCATCAAGATTTTATTACAATATTTTGGTCAAGACCATATCATATTGTTTTTATTGAACTTAGAAAAAATTATTATTTAACTTTAGTTCAAAGTGTTTATAATGAATCAACAATAAATGATAAAATGATAAAACCATCAGATCGTTGTCAACATATAAATGAAATATTTAATGATAGTATGGCTAAATTAGATCTTATTCGTCGTATAAAATATTATCATTTACCCTGTCAAATGTATTCATTAAATCGTTCTTGTTTTTATGATGATACTCAGTTTTGTTTATGTTATAATTATGGTCAAATACGTTTGGCTAATTGTTTTGAATTTAATCATAATATGATATTTGATTGTCGAGGTCATAATGAATGTCAAAATGGAGGAAAATGTTTTCAAGATACACCAAAATGTCCTCAAAAATTCATATGTAACTGTCCCCGATGTTATTATGGAAGACGATGCCAGTTTACTACCAGTGGATTTGGTTTATCACTTGATAATATCTTAGGTTATCATATTCTACCACAAACTAGTATTATACATCAAACAAGTATTGTAAAAGTAAGTATAGCATTGACTACAATCTTTATGATAGTAGGCTTTATTAATGGTATTCTTTCACTAATTACATTTAAAAATAAAAGTGTACGTGAAGTTGGTTGTGGAATATATCTATTAGGTTCATCAATTACAACATTATTAACAATGATTATATTTGGATTGAAATTTTGGATACTTATTCTTGCTCAAATGTCTGTTATATCGAATGAATTATTTTTAAAAATTCAATGTATTTCTGTAGATTATCTATTTCGAATTTGTCTTAATATGGATCAATGGTTAAATGCAGCTGTAGCTTGTGAACGAGCAATAACTATTATCAAAGGTACGAACTTTGTTAAAAAGAAAAGTAAACAAGCAGCTAAATTAGTTATTCTTCTTCTTTTAATCTTTAATATTGTTATATTAATTCATGATCCGATTTATCGACGTTTATTGATCGATGCAGAAAATGATAATGATTATGAAAAAAGAATATGGTGTATTGTTGATTATTCACCTAGTTTAGGAGTATTTAATTATGTATTACATACTTTTCAATTTTTCGTACCATTTATGATTAATCTTATCGCAGCTGTGATTCTTATAGTGAAGAAAATTAATCAACAATCAACTGTTCAAGCTAATCGAAATCGTAAAGAAATTATACGAGAAAATTATCAACAACATAGACATTTATTTATTGCTCCTGTTGTATTAGTTATTCTTGCAATACCACGTTTAGTTATTTCTTATTCATCAAAATGTATGAATACAAGTAAAGACGCATGGTTATTTCTTGTTGCATATTTTATTTCAATTATTCCACCTATGCTTACTTTTATTATATTCATATTACCATCAAAATTTTACAAAAAAGAATTTCACAATACTATTAATCAGTATCGCACTGATATACGAAGACGTTTACATCTTGCACAATAAACGTATATTAAATGATTTTCTTTTTAAATAAAATATTGATGTATAAATAGTTTTCTCTTTCTTTCTTTTTTTTTTAATTGAAACTAGTTAAATGTATATGTTTGATGAACACTGATAGATCCACTGTTCTTTTAACTTTGTACATATCGATCTCGGCTCAGTTAGTTATTAATATGACTGAATACCTATTCTACTACTTATATGATTATTATACAAATAATATTTATATGCATATATAGATTTTTAATATATGATGAAGAAATATGTGAAATAGTTTGATTATATAAAGATTGTTAAACAATAATCAACAAGTAACGCTCACCTAAGGACTCGCTTAGCTCTTTCTCGTAGAAATGGTGTTCTACAATGGTACGGCACCTTTTGCTTATATAAATTGCAAACACTAACATCAGATTCGAAGTCCCAGCATCGAAATACCTCTAGAAATGTCTGTTCTGAAAAATCGGTCTTCGATGTTTTTTTGACCCTGCGGACAGACAAGCAAGCAAACAAACAATTTATTTCTGCTGGACTCTTCTCTACGAGAAAGAGAATATTGAATTGGTATTCAATATAAGAATTTTTAATAGAGAAGGTCATTATATACTTTTCGTTTACATGGATTTTCTTCTAATATTAATACTAGAATTTAATTCTATTGAATAAAAAATATTAGAATAACATGTATATTCAATTAAAATGATATTCTCATCATTTTCATATAAATCAAAAAATAAAAATTTACTAAATTTAAACTACTTCAAATGAATATTGATTATTCGAGATCAAATTATTATAATGTGTTGAATTTTCAATAAGCATCTAGATCATATATTATCTCATACAAATTTTTCATGAAAACCGTCGATCCAATCTGGTTTCCCGTTCTCCATCATTTACTTATAATTTTTTGTGTAAGATTTATATTATCCGTCTTGAAAACGTTGAATTTTACTTCAAAAAAATCAGTTTTAGTACCGTTAAACGTAGTATTTTAGACCGTATTGAAATTTTCTACATTGTTTAATATGTTAACTAAAGAATATTTTTGTTATGTCATTTTTAATAATTAATCAAACTCGTAAACTAATCAGAAACAGTCGATGTGGTTGGTCCCAGCGACTTCAGGGTGACTGATTGCATGAACAAAAGATAAATCTAACATCCACACCATCATCAGAGTCTCTATCGACTCGAATGGTTTGAGAGTCGTCTTCTAATTATATAACTCTCATATATGTTCTATTGATGACTTCCAAAATGAAGTGAATCAATAGGTGGAACAATTCTAATTATCTTTTCTTCAATGCAGTAAAATCAATGCTATTATTTTCATTTTTTTCAGTCAACTGTCGTAAAAACTATGCATATTCAATTCGATACAAATCATTGAGTGAACTAATTCTAATCAAACAGTTAAATAGTCTATAAGATATACAGACTGAAAACACTCTTCATGAGATTTCGAAGGATCTTTATAACACAAGTTTAGTTTCATTCAATTAAATATATATTGTTTGATAGAGTTTACCGAGATATACTATTCCGTAACTCTCAACGAACTACAGATGTTCGCATTATCAGATGAACCAAAAAAATTTTCTAGCGAAAAAATGACTTCATCGTAATCTTCCAACATTAAACTGTCTTTAAAAAGAATCTAAGATCGGAATGACAAAAAAAAACTATGAAGAAAAATAAAGCATGTGCATAAACAAGTAATGATAGTATTGATTAAAGAAAAGAAATTATTCATCCTTACAAAAAATAACCTCGTTGATAATTTATTTCTATTTCTTTTCTGTCATATAACTTATTATAATCCTTTGTTGGATTTTTTCTTCTATCTTATCTTTCAATTCATTCTCATGTGAAATATTCCAAGTCAGTTATTACTGTCTTTTTTTTTTTGCATTACCAAAAATTCATTTCAAAAAGACAAATAAATTGAATGAAACAAATACTGACTCGATGATTGTATATTTTTCTCTTTCATTATCTTTCTTCATCGAAATTTTGTCACGAATAGGAAGAAAACAGATATATCAAATCATAATATAAAGCCACTTTACATTAAACAAACGATGTCAAAATTAAAAAAATGGCTCGTAGACGTTGTTTTCAAGAAGAAAAATAAGAAGAGAAAAAAATATCATATTAACCTTTGTTTGTTTTTCTTTCCCTCGTGCTTAGGTGTGATTAATGAATATCTATCAAACGTTTTCCTCGATAATGACATGATATATTTTCAAAGGTATCGAAGAAAAGAGTATTATTATTTCATTTCTTATTTGTAAGATATTCCTAGTGTTTTAATCTACCATAAGACAATCAGCAACAACAAATTCAACTAAGTATCGTAGACTAGGTGATTCAAAAATAGAAGGACAAACTCTGCATAAGTTAAATGATGATATAACGAATTTTTAGAATAAAAATAAAGTGTTACATGTATACAAGATATACTGATATGGATACTAGCATAACTGATTCGAAGCTTTCGAATTCATCTCTGTGTTTTCCGTAAGTTTCAATGAGATCGAGGCAATAACAAACATCCTCCTAATCAACGTTAAAACATACTTTCATCGAAAAAATATTATGAAAATCGTTTGTATTTTGTATTTGATATCAAAATGAAATCAATTCTCAATTTTTCTCCAACTATCTTAGATACTAAATCAGTTTTACCAGTGAGATTTTGTCACAATAAAATCTTTTTAGATTTCTTCTATAAATTTATATTCAACAAAATGGCAATGGTAAACAATAAAACACACTGTTTTACATGTAATAAAGAAAAAATTACATATCCCTGTGAAGGATGTGCAAAAAAATTCTGTTTAATACATTTAACTGAACATCGTCAAATATTAACTAGTGAATTACATCATATTACCGATGAATATAATGAATTTAAACAAAGAATTAATGAACAAAAACAAAATTCACATAATCATTTATTAATAAATCAAATTAATCAATGGGAAATAGAATCACTTGAAAAAATTCAACAAAAAGCACA